GGCACCCGTCGGTCGGAAGAAGCGGGTAGGAACATGAAGCAGGAAGGCTTTGGAAGCAGAATGGGCTTCTGCCGCCCCGTGAAGAGGAGGGAAGGAGGAGGAGGAGGAGGAGGAGGAGGAGGAGGAGGAGGAGCAGGAGGAGGAGGCGGAGGCAGAAGCGGAGGAGGAGGAGGAGGTGGGAGGAGGAGGAGGAGGAGGAGAAGGAGGAGGAGGCGGAGGAGGGAGGGGAGGAGGCGGAGGCGGAGCGGAGGAGGAGGAGGAGGAGGAGGAGGAGGAGGAGGAAGAGGAGGAGGAGGAGGAGGCGGCTAAAGCAGATTGGGATCTGGGAACCCACAGAATCACTGCGTACTTTCAACGACCGACGGATACCTGTTCCTGCCCTGAGTCCTGTCGAACAAGACGCTGCCGGGCTTCACGGAGTACTGCTGCAGCCGGGCCTCTGCACCGAGCGCGCTCCCTCCTCGGCCCTGTCCCCCCCAGTCGTCCTGGCACTTGTTCTCCTCCTCGCCATCGTTCTCAAAGCTGAGCGCAACCGCTTTCAACTGCTACACCTCCTCGTCCTCCTCCTCCTCCTCCTCTTCCCTCTGCCTCGTCGTCTTCCGCGCGCTCCCCTTCCTCCCGCTCTGGCTCCTCCTCTTCCCTCACCTCTTCCCTCGACCTCCTCCTCCCACTCCTCCTTCTTCTCCTCCTCTGGCTCCTCCGATGTCTCTCTCTCTCTCTCTCTCTATCTCTCTCCTCCTCCTCGTCGTCGTCCTTCCCCTCATGCTTCTCTTCCTGCAGTCAGGCCTCCGCGTCCAGGGCGTGGCTAAACTTCGCTGGGAGCAGGTCCTGCTCGACGGGGCCGACGACACAGACTTTCGCATTGTCGGGGGGAGGATGGTGAGAAGAAGGAGTAGGAGGACAAGGACAAGGACAGCGAGAAGGACGAGGAACAGGACGAAGATGAGGAGGAGGAGGAGGCAAGAGAGGCGGAGCTTGCAAGTGCCACGGAACGCCAGCACAATACTCCGAACTCTGTGATCACCACAACGTTAATGTCGATGAGACGGCGTGCCCTTCTCGCAGCTGTGTGCAAACGTGAGTAAGGTCTGCCTGATGGACCAGGGTGAGCATACAACATACGTGTGGTGCTCAGTCGTACTTTAGCTCGAACGAGTGTCCGTCAGCTCTCGCGCGCGGAGGTATGCGTGAATAGAACAAGAGGAAGAGATAGAGCGAGGTCAGGACAATGAACATGAGAAGGAGAGGAGCAGGTTGTAGCTAGGATTGAACATCTGAGTGAACGAAGGTGGTGATCCACTCAGACCCCCTGGCGAACTCCTTGGGGAGTTATGATGCTCAGAGGGAAAATAACACGAGGGCATCGAATAAACGCATCTGTCTCCACCTAACCTTCCTTCACGGACGATGCGCCCCCTCTAGGCACGCGCGACATGTCCGACAGCACACGTCGGTGAACATTGTCGCATGTCGGCGGCGAGCAAGGGGGGGAAGTGAGACTTCTCATAAGGCGGCGGGGCTTCTCAGAATCCCTCGCGCCTCCTGAGAGCTTTTCTGTCTTCGGCGGAGACTGAGAAAACTTCTCCGAATATCCAAGGACTTCCGAGCCTTCTTAGAAGGCCCGGTCATTCTCTCTTCCGCCCCCCCCGGGCGCGCCGCCGATTATTCGGCGCTTCGATATTGGGCGGAAAGGGGGGGGGTCTGGCTCTGGGCCTCTGTTTAGTGCGACTGTTTGGGACAACGCTACCACAGGGAATCCTATGGGGAGCCGTCCACCTGCTTGAAACAGGCGCCCAAAACAGCAAAGATTTACTGCATCGGGGGGGGGGTGCGAGGGCCCGCGCCGATTGGCAGAACAGCGAAGAAGAAAACGCTCGCTCGTCCGAAATGGAGGGCAACTGTTGCTTGGGCAGACGATGCTCGCCGCGGAGGGTGCCACGTTCGCCTCGAAGTCGACGGCGAATCCTGCCCAAACCGTAGGGCAAGGGCTGAACTGACAATCGTCGTCCCCGTCTGCGCTGTTCCCGTGTTGGGCGCCCCGTCCGCTGGCCCAGGGCTGCCCAGAGGCTGGCCCCGAATCGTACTGGTCGAACGTGTTGCAGAATCAAATCGATGAGATCGGGGGCTATGCCTGGAGGAGAAGGGTCGCACCGGGTGGTGCGCGGTCAGACCAATCAGCGCCGCGTGCATACACCGGCACGCATCCTCGGATCAATCCGATCGTGCACGGCAGTGGGTATGGCAAACTTCGCTGGATGGACCCCCCAGAGGTCTCTGGAGGCCCCTGGAGGCCCCCAGACGCTCCGACTTGGCCAGGAACGTCGACTGGCGAAACGCAACTCCCTTCCTCAGCTTACTCCCTCCCCGGACCCCTGGCGCTATGATTTGTTTCGCATCGTGAGCGCTTCTCAAGAGAAGTTGGATCTTTCCCCCGGGACCGACTTCGCATCCCGAGTTGTTTCTGCACGTCCCAGGGCCCGGTAAGGCCCCCCAAGCACCAGAAACTACCCGAACTGCCAGTCGTACGGTCAGGGGCTTGTGGATAGCGTGTCGCGGCGGCGGCCCCGGCGGCACGCTGTGTCCTGCGAGCGAATGGCGTGTCGCTCCGCTCCGCGGGGCGGGAGGTTCGGACGAGCTCTGGACGTTGACGTTTTGGGACTGGGATGGAGGAGTGAGCTAGGGAGGAGGCGGAGGAGGAGGAGCAGGGGGGGGAGGAGGAGGAGGAGGAGGAGGAGGAGGAGGAGGAGGAGAAGGAGGAGGACGAGGAGGAGGAGGAGGAGCAGGAGGATCGAGGAGGATCGAGGAGGATCGAGGAGGAGGAGGCGGAGGAGGAGGAGGAGGAGGGGGAGGAGAAGGAGAAGGAGCAGAAGGAGAACGAGCAGCAGGAGGAGGAGGAGAAGGAACAGGCGGAGTGAGATAGGGAGGAAGAGGAGGAGGAGCATGAGGAGGAGGAGGAGGAGGAGGAGGAGGATGTTTTTGACATCAACGCTCAAACCCCCGAAGTGTCGCCTCCGAGGGCGAGACGACTTCGAACAAGAGGCACACCGCGTACAGCAACAGGGGGAAGTACTGCACGCACACGACGCGGATCGAAGCGTACTTAGCCGAGCCCGATACCACAGAAACTCTGCCTTGATCCATGCGGCAGCCGCAGTCAACACTGAGCAAATAAGCCCCGTAGAACAAGGAAGAAGCAGTAATGCCCGAGGAAGAATACGCAGTGCCAGAACAGGTGAGCTATCCCAGAAACGCACCGTGGCCATTTATAACCAGCTGAAGGCAGACTGCATACTGAGAAGGCGGCCCTCTCCAGGATCATGAAGAAGATGAGCAGGTAGCCAAGCGCAAGCAGATACCTCAGGAACTTCCTCGCCGCCAGCTGGACCAGACGAAGGAGCAGCCCCTGCACCTCCTTCGAGTGGAACGCCATGAACACCGACGAGCCGATTGCGAAGCTGCACGAAGGGCTTGAAAGATCGGCCAACACCAGACCAGGCCCCCAGCTGATCTTCCACGAGCGCGCAGAATTCGGCTTCGACGGTGCTGGCGTCTGCCTCATCGTGATTCACAGCATCCATCTCTGCCCCGAGGGTGCCGACAGCATCCAGCGAAGAGGCACGTGAAGCAACACCGGCAGACACGGCCATCGAATCGCCTGCAGCATCAGAGGGCATGGGGATCCAGACCCCAGCGCCAGGCGCGAAAGGAGAAGCATCAGCGAACCACGTGGCAAGAGGAGAGCACCACGGTGCCACAACTGCAGCCTAGCCCATTTCCGCCGAGGCCGACCGCCCTGGCCAAGCGGGCCCCATGCTGGGCACGCCTCCAGTCAGCGATTTGCAGCCCCCGCAGGCGGGCAATACGCGGCATGAAGGGCACAATTGCGCTCCAGCCTGCGTATACCAGGCACCTGCGAGCCTTCGACGAAGGCCTGCAAGGCGGGCCGGACGACGCCCTCACGCCGCGGCACCTCCGCCGCGACGGACGCGTCGGGAGGCACCGCAACCAAGGTCCGAAGCCGTTGCAGCTCACCTTGGGTCGCCGAGGGCTTCGCCTCGAGCTTCGCGATGAGGTTGTCTGCGGAGGCCCGCGCTCCAGCGTGACCTCGCAGGACGCTGCGCCCCGCGTCCGAGGCGCCTCCCGCAAACATTCCCTGGCGAACCACCTCCAGAAACTTCAACTTTCGGACGCCCGCGGCGAGCTGGTCAGAGCCCAGGGGTCGCGATCACGCAAGCAGCTTCAGCCAAAATGGGTGCGAAGAGGAAGAGGAGAAGGAGGAGGAGGAGGACCAGGAGGAGGAGGAGGAGGAGGAGGAGGAGGAGGAGGAGGAGGAGGAGGAGGAGGAGGAGGAGGAGGAGGAGGAGAGGGAGGAGGAGAAGAGGTAGGGAGAAGGGGATTGGCGTGTCGCGCCAAGGCGTGGTGGGGCCAGAACTGGCCCGCGCGACACGCTCTCCCAGGGTTCCCGACCGTGATCTCTTGTCGACGCGGTGGGGGTCAGGATCCTCCCCTCCCCTCGGGGGAGTCCAAGCGGGTGGCGTCCAAGAGGGTCGAGGATGAGGAGGAGCAGGAGGATCGAGGAGGAGGAGGAGGAGGAGAAGAACAAGGAGGAGGAGGAGGAGGAGGAGGAGGAGGAGAGCAGGAGGAGGAGGAGGAGCAGGAGGATGAAAGAGGAGGGGGCAGATGAGGAGGAGGAGGAGGAGGAGGAGGAGGAGGAGAAGGAGGAGGCGGAGGAGGAGGAGGAGGAGGAGGAGGAGGAGGAGGGAGAGGCACATCGGGGGCGTCCAAGAGGGGAGCGTCCAGGGGGGGGGGGGGGGCGCAAATCATGGCCGGCGGCACGTGCGCGGCCCAGGTGGGTTCGGTGGGGGCGGGGACGTATGGAAAGAAGCAGAGGCGCCACGAGATCTGCAGAGATAGCATGGCCCCCGCCATGATAGCCTCCCACCTAGTCATCACCTCCCTTTCTGCCGCCCTCGAACCCCTCCCCTGTCCCCGAACATGGCCAGCGTGATCGGCGTCGACTCCTCTGGGCCCGGCCAGAGGTGGCTGGACCTGCCCTGGCGGAGCGGCCGGTCGTGGTAGATGTCCTCGCCGCCCCATCGCTCGCATGCTGGGCTATCGGAGAGGAGGATCAGCAGCAGGGAGGAGAGAGGGCCTCGTAACTCATCATGTTCCTCCCCTTCCATCCTCCTCCTCCACCTCCTCTTCCTCCTCCTTCTCCTCCTCCTCCTCCTTCTCCTCCTCCTCTCCCTCCTCCTCCTCCTCCCCCTCCTGTTCCTCCTCCTCCTCCTCCTCCTCCTCCTCCTCCTCCTCCTCCTCCCCCTCCTCCCCCTCCTGCTCCTGCTGCTCTTTTTGCTGACAGACAAGCTGCGTGCTGCGTGCGCCCGCGCCATATCGGACGCCTCCCCCCCGCCAGTTCTCTATCCGTAGAGGGGTGTCTTAGCGGACCTGAAATCTCCCCAAGGGGTAAATTTGTCTCATGACCGATCAGGCCAGGGCAGCTGTGTACACTCGAGATGGACATGGAGGAGGCGAACCAGCAGGGAGAATGGGCAGGAGGAGGAGAGGGAGGAGGATAGGGAGGAAGAGGAGGATCGGGAGGAAGAGGAGGAGGAGGAGGAGGAGGAGGAGGAGGAGGAGGAGGAGGAGGAGGACAGGGCGGAGTGAGGTAATGAGGAAGTGGGGAGGAGGAGGCAGAGGGTCCTCAATGGAGTCTCAGACCCTTACCTGATTAACCACACTGCGCGACCGTCCGACGGAGAGTTGCCTCCAGAAAAGGGGAGGTGGTCTGCGGCCTGCCAGGGCGGCCTTGTGGAGGAAGGAGAGAGAGCGATGTACAGCAGCAGCAGCAACAGCAGCACCAGCAGCAGGAGCAGCAGCAAGAGCACAGCAACAACAGCAGCAGCAACAGCGAGAGCAGCAGCAAGAGCAGCAACAGCAAGAGCAGCAGCAGCAAGAGCAGCAGCAAGAGCAGCAGCAAGAGCAGCAGCAAGAGCAGCAGCAAGAGCAGCAGCAGCAGCAGCAGCAGCAGCAGCAGCAGCAGCAGCAGCAGCAGCAGCAGCAGCAGCAGGAGGGGGGGAAAAGAGCGAGGGAGAAGCAAGAGGGGCCAGCGGAGGGCGGACGATGACGAATTACCCACCAAACCACCCCAGCCTGACCCGAAGACCCAACGTTCGACTTGGGGGGGGACGGGCTCCACACGTGTCTTTTAATGTTCCCCACCGCCTCCCCCCCCACTGGGAATGAAGGGCGGATCGGGGCCTGCGGGTTGGGTTTGGGTGGTTTGGCGGGTGGTGAGAAGAGGGAGGGCCTGCTGGGGAAGCCGAAAAGCACCAATACCGCTGCCCCCCAGACCTCCCCCGGGGCGCGTCCTGACCCGGGTTTCGAGGCGAATCCAGCGGTGGCGACGAGGGCCTCCCAGGAGGCCCCAAGAATGGGAGAACGGCCGAAGGGCAGAGGTATGGGCACCTTTTCCTCCTCCGAGGGGGGGAGGAGGGGCGGTCCCCTTCCACGAGCCTGCGGTCCAGTCTCCGTCGCAGGCCTTTGAGAAGGGGGTGGGCGGGCAGGCGGGGACGAGGGGGGGGGAGGCGGGGGAGGGAGAGGGGGAGGAGGAGGAGGAGGAGTGGGAGGAGGAGGAGGAGGAGGAGGAGAAGGAGGAGGAAGGAGGAGGAGGAGGAGGAGGAGGAGGAGGAAGGAGGAGGAGGAGGAGGAGGAGGAGTGGGAGGAGGAGGAGGAGGGAGAGGAGGAAGGGGAGGAGGAGGAGGAGGAGGAGGAGGAGGAGGAGGAGGAGGAGGTATAGGAGGAGGAAGAGGAGGAAAAGGAGTGGGAGGGGGAGGAGGGCCCGCGGAGGGCGGAAGAGGGGGGAGGGAAGCGGGGAGGCAGCCCCGAGGACGGCCTCGGCTCCAGAGGAGAGCACACCGCCCGCGCGTGGGGCGCGAGAGCAAACGCCACCCCAAGAGCGATCTCCTCCTCCTCCTCCTCCTCCTCCTCTTCCTCCTCCTCCTCCTCCTCCAACGCTCGGGCGTCCGTTCGTTTCTCCGTGCCGCGATGCCAAGCCGCACACGTTGCCGGCGAGCGAAGGGGGGGGAGTGAGAAGGAGAAGGCCTTCCTCAAAAGGCGTCGGGACTTCTCAGAAGCCCTCGCGCCTTCTGAGAAGTTTTCTGCGTCTTCGGGAAAGGCTTGGAAATCTTCTCAAGAGGCCGCACACGTTTCGATGTCGTCCGTTCATTTTTCCGTACGAAGATCCAAGATGCTCCTCGAGGGCCCTCGCACAGGAAAAGTACACACGTCCGAGCGACGCCATGAGTTCGGACCACCGAGCACGCTCCGACTGCCAAGCAGGCACTCGCACATGCAAAAGAATGGGGCCCTGTGGATATAACAAATCATACACGGAGAGGGCGGTGCACTGTTCCAAGATGTAGTCGGGGGGGGGGGGGGGGCAAGGCAGTAGTACGGTCAACACGTGTATTAAGGACGGGTGGTGAGGATGCAAGACCCGTGGAGGTCGAACATGGGATTTGTTGGGCGGCGGGCGACCAATGAAAACGGCAAAGGACGGGCCGCAGAGGCAATGACACAAGGGTACCCTAATTAGATAAAGGCGCGCGTCCTCACTAGGCGCGTTGACTGTATTCATGTTGAGTAGTGGATGGAGATGAGGGAAGAGGCGGGATGAGAGAGGAGCAGAGGCAGAAGGATGAAGAGGAGGAGGAAGCATGCGTCCTTGATCGACGTCTTCACCAGCTCGACGTACTTCTGGTACAGCGGGTCTGCAGGGTCCATGCACAGCGTGATGTCTTCATGCCCACCTCCCCGGTGCTCCAGGGGCTCCGAGACCAGCGCCGACATCAGCCCGTGTGGGTTATACAGCTTGCTCTTGTCAGAGATGACCTTCAGAGGCCTCCCAGATGGGGTCCGAACAAATGAGGTCGGAAAGGTACACCGCATCGGCGATGCATTGGCAATACGCGTTGGCGATGCGGCGCGATACTCCGACACCACCTGCTCGGACCCCCTCAGAGCGACGATCAAAAACGGGTCTTCCGGCGACCTTGCGCCGCAGCTTACGCGGGCCGCCAGCGCGGCACGCTACATTGGAGACGAAGGCGCTCACGCGCGACCCTACGCGAGCAGCTCACGCGCCAATGTCGGCGCAAACGACCCTTGTTCTTGCGTCGCTCATCTGGAAGGCACCCCACCTCCTCCTCCTCCTCCTCCTCCTCCTCCTCCTCCTCCTCCTCCTCCTCCTCCTCCTCCTCCTCCTCCTCCTCCTCTCCCCCTGCGCACCCAGACCTGCCGCGCCTCGATCGCCTCGAGGCGCGGGGGCTCCCCAGGCTCCCTCGGCCTCTCCCCCGGGGACGGACTCCTCACCCCGAGCCGCTCTTTTTGACGGCCCGGGGGCCCGGGAAAAGCCCCGAGAAGCCGAAGACCAATGAGACCCTCTGGCTCGATTTTTTGTTCGAGCCCTCCGTCTTTTTTTTTGTCGGAACCAGGAAGGGCGTCTCTGAAGGGGACCAGTGACACACAAAGAAAGAAACACTTTTTTTCGTCGGCGGCTCGGTGGAGTCACTGCGCTGCCGAGGAGCCGAAACATGAATATGTATAAATATATGTACATACATACATACATACATACATACATACATACATACATACATGCATACATATATATATATATATAAATATATATATATATATATACACGCGAGTCCCAGGATCCCCCTATATTTCCTTGGTTTTCGTTTTTCCCCCCCCCCCCCCCCCATTTTTTCCCATATTTTCTCATCCGTTCTTGGGAAGCGACGATTGGTTGTGGAGGGCGCGCCGCTGGATGGCCCCAACGGGGGGGGGATCCCCCCCGTTTCCCTCGTCGGGGATCCCCCCCCCCCCCCTTCCGCCCCTTTCCCGGTCCGTCGTCTGAGACCCCCCCCCCCCTCCCCTCTTTCCCGATCGTCGTCGGGGAAGCTCCCCCCCTCCCTTTTAAGCCGCCAAATTCACCCCCCCCCCTCCCTCCCCTTTTGCCACGGCGCCCCCTGGCTCCGGAACCCGACCCCTACCACCCCTAACGCTACCACCCCGACCACCCGTAAACCGAACCCCAAACCCGAACCCTAGCCCCAAACAGTACTCAGTACTAACCATTCACTATTCACTATTCACTGCCCACTATTCACTACTCGCTATTCCGTTTTCGATACTCACTGCTCACGACTCACGACTCATTACTCACTACCCACGAGACACTACCCACTACCCACTACCCACTACTCACTACTCATTACTCCCAACCCGCTACTCAATATTCACTATTCACGACCCACTACTCGATACTCACTACTCACTAAGCACTACTCACTACACACTATTCTACCCACTAACCACTACTCACGACTGAGTACGGACAATTCACTACTAACTACTCACTGCCCACACCTCACTACTCATTATCCGCTGCTCGCTACTCGCTACACCATACTCCTTCCCAAATACTCACTGCTCACTATTCACTACTCACTACTCGCTACATCCTACTCGCTACTCGCTGCCCGATACGCAGAATTCGCGACCCACTACGCACTAGTCAATATTCAATACTCACTGCTTCCTACTCGCTGGTCACTGATCAGTAAGGTAATAACTACTAATTACCCAGCACCAACTACTCACTACTCACGACTCCCTACTCACTACTCCCGACTCGCTACTCACGACTGCGCACTACTCACTACTCACTACTCACTACTCACTACTCACTACTCACTACGCACTACTCACGACTACCCACTACCGACCCACTACTTACTACCCATTTCTCACTTCCCTCTACTGTCTAATCACTACACCCTACTCACTACTCACTACTCATTACTCGCTACTCCCTACTCGCTACTCACTACTCCCTACTCACTACTCACTAATGACTACTCCCTCCTCACTACTCACTACTCACACTGCCCAACTCGCTACTCGCTGTTCACTACTCGCTACTCCCTACTCGCTACTCACTACTCACTACCCACTCCCCAATACCCCACTACTTACTACTCACTACCCACTACTCGCTACTCGCTACTCGATACTCGCTGCTCCCTACTCCCTTCTCTCTACTCACTACTCCCTCCTCATTACCCACTGCTCACAATGCCCGACCCGCTACTCACTATTCACTACTCGCTACTCCCTACTCGATACTCTTTACTCACTACCTTCTCACCAGTATCCACTAACCACTACTCATTACTCACTTCTCACTGCGCACTACTCCCTACTCACAACTCACTACTCACTCCTCACTACTTGCGACTAGCTACTCACTACTCACTATCCACTACTCACTACTTACTATCACTAGTGACCAGTCTCTACCCACTACTCCCTAGTCACTATCCTGAGGCCAGACTGTGTATGGGGTTGAAGTACAAGGGCACAGAACCCCTGATCCGTTGGTAGAGAGAAGGAGGGATAGATGGATATCTTTCCCTCCCGCACGATCAAGGTCTGATCGATCTATCTCAATACCTGAGCCCAAACGGCCAGGCGCAGGAGAGGTAAGGATAAGGAGTATATATGAAGGTACTATGCGGGTTCCATTCGCACCCCCCGTCCCGAATCCCGCCCGTGAGGGCAGGACTCGGGAACAAAGGAAGGGAATCCGCCACCCATTTACTCCTTTGGTCCTTAAGTCAGAAGGCAGCTGGGCTTAAAATCAGCGAAGCCACAGCTGCAAAGTGAAGTTAGAAGGAACACCCTGGGTCCCCCTTTCTTCGCCAGGCACGCTTTGGTGCCCCCTCGGTGCGCCCCCCAAAACGCTTCGGCACTCGAGGGCGGAGAAGAATGAGACAAGGGTGGGCGGAGAAAGAAGATCTGAGCGTGAAAGCAACATGCAAACTGCCTCGCATTTGCGAGGCAGGTGTTGCCACCAGCTATCAGATTATTCTCGACGCAATCAGGTTTAAAGTGTTAAATTATGCATGCTAAGATCGCGTTGACAAACACGATCTTGAAATGAAACACATCTTTGTGTAAAAGCAAATGTCTGGCCAGACAGAATGTCGTGTTGATGAACACGAAAACTCATGTGTATAAATTATGTTTGGCGACTCCCGTTGGCGCTGCTCCTTAGGAGGCTGCCTCGGTTATCGCAAAAGGTATTTGTGTGTATGTGTGGCCACTTGTGTTATATAATGAAGTGGCCTAAAAGTATATGTAATAGCCACCGCTCAAGGCGAACTTTGGTTATAATGAAGTTCATGCCTTTGAGCGGTGGGCCTTGCGGCCGACTCACTACGTGTTGCCGTTCTTGTAGAACCTGCGGTCCCACATCCTCTGGCCGTTGTACGTCACGTAGCTCGTCGTGAATGTCTCCCAAGCCGTTCTCGGGATCCAGTTGCGAAACCAATCATTGTACGTGATGTCCTGGATGTATGCGTACTCATCGTTGTTGATCGCGATGTAGATCCAACAGTTGATGTAGTAACTCCAGTACCTGAGACCCCAGTAGCTGCCCTCGAGGTCGTCGCGCCAGCACGCGGCGTAATCTGATGCACGCGCTCTCTTGGCACGCGGCCCCGCGGGCGTGTAGTCCGTCGCGCCTGAGGCGCTGGACGCAGCAGCATCGCCAGGAGCAGGGCGCGGCGGCGGCCGCGGATGGCGCGGCTCCATGGCATCATCAGACTGGTGGGATTGTGCATCGGGATCGGTTCTCATCCCTGTATCAACCCCCCTCTGGTCGGTATGTGCCGGATCGAGGGAGCCTAACAACTCATTGGCAATCGCGGCAAGCTTACGCTGAGTGAACTGTTCACGGGTTCCGTCCCTTCTAGGGAGAGAAACCGTGACCAGTCCGCGAGCCTGCCGCGTCTGCCTGTCGAGGCGCCCCTCGTTCAGCCACCATTTCCTCCGACCAGCCTGTCCAGTCCTAATACTGACGTCGAGGATGTCCCACGCGTCACGCATGTCCTCCACGGTCCAGGGCCTCTTGCCGATGTTCACGCGGGCACCTGTCATTTGGTGGTGGAACTTGAGGTCGTTGAGAAAGCGTTGTACGAGATTGGCGAATGGGTAGTACAGAGGTCGGTCGTCCTCGGCTTCGCCCATCAGTCTGCACTCGTGTGCAGCAGGGCTACCTGATTCGACCCACTTCTGATACCTCTTTCTGGACGCATTGGCCAATCTCCGCAACTGATATTTCTCATTGCCTGCGTGCGATCGCGCACCCGTCATAATGACGTGCGCACCGTCCTTCATGTATCTCGCGATGTGGTCCTCAGAGAGTGTCATCTTGATCCAGTTCGTCAGCTTCTGGAGGTACGCGAGATCGCTCTGTGTGGCGGTGCTCTTACCCGTGGCGCCTACGGCCACGGTGTACTGCCAACAGATATCACAAAGTGTGCCGTCACCTGTGACAATCCCAAGGGATAGATCTCGACCGCAATTCTGACAGAGCGGTATGGGATGCAAGATCGTCTCAGGGGCCCCTTCCGACGTGAGGTGATCGCGGGATCCCCAGCGGGTGTCCTGACCGCGAGCGATCTGATTGATGGCCTCACGATTGGTCTCGGTGTTCGGTCGGGAAGCGATTGATCTACTTAAACCCTCGATCTCGATCCTAGACAATCTTTCCCCTGGCAGTCCTTTGTACTCTATCTTGGTGTTGTCCGTATCCTCGGTACCGCCATGGCATACGTTCTCTTCACGAAGACGGCGAGCTTTCTCCTGCAAGGTAGCCTCGTTGTCGCCCTCCTCGCGCTTGAGTCCCGTCTGCTCGGCTATGATACGTACCATAGTTTCCTGATCTGGAGCTGCAGACGCAACGCTGCCTGGATCCTGGGGAATATCCGGCTCAGCGCCTTGCTCACGAGGCGCGGCAGGTGTTTCCTCCAGCTCTTCCCATACGGGAAA